CACCAGCGTCTGTCCGGCTTGGGTTACATCTTCTCTGCCTCGTTGCCGCCAATGCTAACCCAAGCAGCGATCTCGGCATTGGATCGCTTCGAGCGCGAACCGCAAATCTTTGGCCAGCTGCAGGAGAGATCGCGCCAAGTGCATACACAATTTAAATTATTTACCAAATTGAAGTTGGACGGCGACGAGCTGTCACCTGTGAAGCACTTGTACCTGGCCGAAAGCCGTGAGAGCTTTGAAGTGGAGAGCAAGTTGTTCAGCCAAGTGTCAGATAAGGTAAGTAATTGAATAATAATAATATTCATATCCTTCGGCTAACCGATTCTATTTCTTTTCAAGTGCATTGAACGAGGCGTGGCCGTCGTAGAAGCCGCCTACTTGCGGAACAGGGAACACAAGCCAATTCGTCCGAGTCTTCGCATTGCTGTTAATCGTTTGCTGACCGATAAAGACATTCGGGAAATCTTCGATGTTATAGAAGCCGTTTCCATTGCTGTGCTTTAAACTCGGTTGGTTTTCTATAATTGAATTCATTGCGTTCCTAGTTTATTTTTGTTGACCTATGACAAAAGCTCAGCACATGCTTTTAAAATCATATTTGCACAAAACCTACTTTGTATTTGAGCAGTAATTACAAAATAAAAATTTATGTAATAAACAAAATTATCTGATTTATACATGACATTTACTAAAGAACAGATTTGTATTACGTGATATTTATTTAATTAATCTTCAATTTATCTACTTAACATTTTTTGTTTCGTTGGCAATCGAGATTTTGAACTTAACAGACCCGCTAACAGCACTACAATAACATTGCAGAGCTATTGCTTATCGATTACTTAGCTGTATTTTTTACTAAATATTGTATATCACCTGGTCACACTATCATTCAGAAACGAAGCCGAATTGAGAGCACGCACGTCGCGCTGTGATTTTCAGTGTGATTTTTGCATTTAAGAAGTGTAAGTGCTCCAAATTTTATTAAATTTTTAGTAAATCGCGAAATAATAAAAAATATCAATAACAATTCAACGTTTATGGTGCTTTCTTAAACTATGTTGTGGAAGACACCAGCAGCATAGGCAATACGCACCAATCGATTTTTTCACGGCATACCGGTGGCGAAGACGCCGCCAAAGTGTTAATTGCGTTCGTGTGTTTGTGTGTGAATGTGTATTCGAATAAATAATATGACATAATCAACGTACATATCATATGCGGTTGACTTAATTGACATAGTTTTTCCACACTCTTCTGCAGAAAACTTATAAGTGTCGCATATTTTGTGGTCGCCGCGTCAGGACTTGACAATTCCTTTCGTACGTTATGTACGTGAGCGGCGCTGTTTTTTTGACGCATGCTTTGATCACCAGATTCGTTATTACCAACATACATACAAACGCCATACACACACATGCATACATATATTCCCTTTCGATTTGGGCGTTGCAGGATGATATGATTTCCAGGCCGCTTTGCGGTCATTTTCCAGAGAGCACCAAAAATGCTATATAGTTGTCTCGCTCTCTCAATTTTGCGCAAAATGAAAAAACAAAAATGCATTTGCTTTCAATAATTTATATTTTTTATATGTACTTTTGATATGTAAAATGTCATAAATATATTTTTTGTTTGGGTATTTAATATACGAAGCATCAAATAAATGGGCCTGAACATATGTATGTGTATTATCCGATTTAGTAATCGCTACGCCCATTTATCGTTTTCCAACACTGTCGTTCTAGACCGCTTCCAGTCGAAGTAAGCACTCTCTCACTCTTCATTTTGTTGTTAACGTGCGCTTCTGAGCGACGGACGTGTGCGTTACAGAAATTGAATATAAAAGGAAATTATATGTCATAAGGTGGCGTTTGATTAAATTTCTGTGTATACAACTTTGCGTTATTAAAGTTGGTTATTCGAATGTGATAAAAGCAATTTGCATTAATAAAAGAAAGGGGCTAAACGTGGTGAGCTGTGCAAGTGCCGTTACTTAGACCCGCCATTGTTAGATTCGCCGTTATAAAGAGAGCCCTTGCCGCCGTGTGTTGCCGCTAGCGCAAAGTGCAGGCGATAACAAATGCAAATAATAAATTGTAGTGCGATTCACGATCATTGCTAAATAAATAAAATTTAATTTCATAGTTCTTTTTTACTCTCCTCATTTATTTACTACATACGTATATACAAATATATACATAAAGCAGCCGAAAAACGAACGCGTGTGCTTGTCAGTTTCGACGAACTTGTGTCTGTGTTTGTGTAAACGACGTCCCAGCAGCACGCAATAAGAACGAAAAAGCGAAAAGAAACAACGAGGACTACGTCAAAGTTGGAAAAAGCAGAAGTCGAAACATTCACTGTGAGTACGAGCCCGTCTACCTTCATATCATTCTTTTTTTTTTTTACTTTTAAGTTATGTATGCATGTTTGTGTGCTTTTAATTGTATTATTCACTTTTCGGTTAATTTTTTGTGTCGAAATGTGTATAGACAGCGCGCGCTGTTTACTGTTATGCGTGGTTGCCGTTTGACCGGTGACGCCATCTTTTAACTCACACCAACAATTTTCGGTAAATTTTTTTTTGGGATCGGTCAAGCACATTCCGGAGGAGTGTATTTTTCTCTTTTGCTTTGTCTTCAATATTCGTTCTGAAAATTTGTGTTTTTCGTATTTTCTTTGACTTGTCAGTGATGAAGAACTTTTGACTTTTCTCTCCGCTCTCTCTTAATTCACTTTCGGGTGGGTGGGAGCTGGATAGATATATTAGTCTGTAGCTTTCTATTCATGTCTGACACATGTCATCATACAGGTTTCTGATTTAAACTGCCGCCTTTATCAGTATACCCATACACATACAAGTACTGGCAAATATTTACGCTTACGCGTGTCTAATGCATTTTGCCGCTGTTCGTAGCGCATCTGTTTACAAGTTTCTCAGTCTCGCCGATGACCTACTTTTATTTTGCAAAGTTTCTTTGCAGTTTTTGTTGTTGTTTTTATTTTGTGCCTTTTGCATGCGATTTAACGAAAAGCTAGTTTTGTGTAGAGCAAGTGATAAACAGATTTGTAAATATCGAAAACTAGTTTTTATTGAATTAGTGACAGACGATAATGGTTTTGCAAGCACTGTAGATATTAGTTGGGCAATCAATATCGGTTAGCGGTTAACCGTTTGAACAGCTGTTGTATCGACAGTGTAGCCACATAATTGCAAATTCTATGTAGCAGAGACGAAAGTCTACACTCTTTCTAATCAGAATTGTGTTTTGCCAGGTTCTCTAGTAAGAATTTTTGTTTGCTCTGTTTACGAGTAAGAATTCAAATCGAATATAAATTTGAATGTGAGACATTCGACAGTAAGTTGACCTCGTTTTCTTATTTTGTTTTTTCTTTCATGCGATCATATTCTTATTGCCTTCAATTAGAGAACAATTAGAGATGGAAAGAAAGAGAAAGAGAGGGAGCGAGAGATAGAGTCATTACAGCATAACGAAACGTGTATAAAAAAGAAAAAAAGTCTGTAAAGTATTCTTTGTACTTGGTATTTGTCATTGACAGAGCAGTCACTGTTATCAGTCATATCAGGTTGATATAACATATATATGAGCAGTGACTCTCTCTTACGTATGTGCTGCGCGCTCGATCGTATGATAAATCAGGTATATTAACTGCTCAATGACGTCATAGCGCGCATTTTCTAATGAATCGCGCTGCTTTTTGTTGCTAATTCAATTTTGCGAATACTTATACATAAATATGCACACACACGCACATACATTCAGTTGATGAGTTTTATAATTTATTTCAATTCAGCCCAAATGTGCGCTGAGTGTGTGTGTGTGTCTGTAGTAAATATGTATGTGTTTATGATTTTTCTTTGTATTATTCATTCCCCCCTTTTTGCACTAAAAAAGCGACTCAATTGTAGTTGAATTTGTATCTAATAAAGAGATTTTTGTTTGTTAATGCAATGCAAAAGTTTTTATTTTTATTATTTTTGCCGACAAACTTTTCAACAGGTGAAAACAAAAGCTATGCTCTGTGACGCTCTTTGGGCGGGTGGCTGAGAATAGCAGTGCAAAGCAAACGACAAAAATAAATGAAGAAAAAATAAACCCATTGTGAGATTGTGCTACTACAGTTAGTTATTTCCAGTGGACAAATTAAAGTGTTGAATGAATGAGGCAAACAGTCAGACAGAGAGAGAGAGAGAGGGAGAGAAGTCTGAATGTATGTATGTGTATGTGTGTGTGAGTGTGTTTGTTTTTGTGGGAGGAAGTGCATAGTTAAAACTGTAAACAATTGTGTGGCTGGGGCAACCTAGAAAAGTAGCGACAACAAATGCTTGAATGAGACACATTCGTTTCGATTTGAATTCGTTTTTTTTTTATTTTTTATTGTTGGCCGTGTCTTTGGTTGTAACGGAAGTAGAATAGAAACTCGAAAATGACAATAACTAACTGACAATACTATAAAAAATATACATAATTTTGATTTATTTATTTGAGAAAACTCGCAAGGAATTGACTGCAGTGCGTATAAATTGTTTACTCGAGCGTACGGCTAGCTGGGCTTATCTAATTTCCTATTTGAGTGACGTCACTGGATGTCAGGCTGTGATTAATTGTTATAAAATGTTTGGAGATTAAATGCATAATTGTGACGTTCCATTTGATTAATTGAACCGAACCTTCGTTTGTTGCTTCAATCGTGGGTCTCTGACAACCCTGTTACAGCGCGCGCGCTAATACCAAACGATTTATCTAAACAAGCGAAAAGTAAGAGAGAGAGAGAGAGAGAGATAGCAGAGGGAGCGAGAGAGTGAGAAAGGTAAAGTAAACTCGTCTTTGCCTTGGGCAATTGAGCAGCCGTTGCTGCTGCAGCTAGACAAATGCATCAAGCGAGAGGCAAACAAATGCATAAATAAAAAAGTAGCGTACGTGCGATACACGCACACACACATAATATATATGTGTATATACAAACACCTATGTCCATAGAAGTGAGATTAAAAAGAGATGTTTCTGGGTTCTACTGTGGCTGTTGTTGCCTGCAGCTCCTCATCAATAATACAAGCAACAACAATAACATAACAGAGACAACAGACGAATGTACAGTTGCAACAGAGAGGCTGGTAAAACAACAACAACAACAATAACAGTAAACTCTTATGCGCTGCAGCAGCATAACTAAATCTTGTAAGAAATATCAAGAAGGCCCAAGAGCAGGGGACAGAAACAACAACAGACAGACAGACAGAGAGTGACGACTGCAAAAGCTCAGGCACGACAACCATGCTGTTAATTATACATGGCCAAGTGTTATGAAGGAGTGAGGCAGATTGCAAGCGTGTGTGAGAGAGAGAGAGGGAAGAGACTGAGTTCGAGTGGCATATAACGAGCACAGAGTACGCAGAGGCCAAGAACAAAAATGTAGACAAAAAGAAAAGAAATAAACAACAATGTCTGAGTCCAGGAGTGAACGACAAAGAGATGCTCTAAGCTAAGCTCATATATTTAATAAATGTCTA